ATGCTGGCTTTGTGGCCGGCCGGTTTGGACCAGATGGTCTAATATCGAACTGCTGATAGTTTTCACTACACCTTTACTTAGCCACACTGGAAGATGTTCTCCAGCATGGATTTCGTTGACTGATGAAGCCATGTTCTGGTTTGACCACCACGCGCTAGCTCTTTTACAACTTCATCAATCCTATGTCAGTCAGCTAACATTTCCCGTTGTCGAGGAAGGCTAGCGATAGTTAGGCATGCATAACACTAGTTGGTGAGCATTCTACCGCTGTGCCATTATCATCGCATGCTAACATCGAAAAAGATTTGAATGTCTATCATAAGCTGCTGCTGCTGTCGCCAATGACTTTGATTTTTCTACCACAAACGATCAAGTTGGCAGAAGAAGCTACGAAAAACAGGCAGATATGTTAAAACATTGAAAAGACAAATCTGATGAATCAATGGCTACTGAAAATTTTCCACACCATTATGGCGATGATGATGATGACGACAATGATAATGAATATCACACAATTGACCGCCATCACCAAGAACAATAAAAGCAACAATGAACTCTGACAGACAGTGTGAACAACAAGCCAGCAACCTTTTATCCAACAAAATAACAATGAAAACAAAATGAAGACGGAGTGGAAAAGAAAGCGCACACACACACACTCGTGAAATATTTCAAATGGCATCCATCTATACGCTAGACAGGTCCTTCGAGTGGGATTCGAATGTGAAGTAAGTGGTGAATTGGGTATCCAACGGTGATGTGAAGAAGTTCGTATGATGAAAACTAAAAATGACTGTAAAGGACAGCGTAAAATGGAGACACACACTGGACGAAATAATAAGCTGCTAACACAAATGGTTTAGTCAATAAAATTAAAGAATTTAAACATAATATAATTTGGTATGTATTCTATTCTACTATTAATACTGTTAATAATAATAATAAGCTTGAAAGGTCATGTAATCAAACAACCTACTTATATATATAAACTCATATCAATCGTTCTATTGCTGTTGAGATTATAGTACAAATATGTGTTATACAATAATAATAATAATAATACTATTGAATACGACCGTCCATCACACTCGCACACGCACGCACACATACATACGCATGACACAATGAAACTGTTTATAATTTGTACTTTTAAGCATAATAGAGACAGATACGCCTGCATGCATACACACATACACATCTGAGAATAGAAGCCTGTATCCAAGTAAGCGAAGTAAAGAAAAGGGGTTAGTTAGTTATCTAGTTAGAATTCAGACAGCTTTAAATGAATACTAAGTAGCATCTTGACTGTACTAACACCAAAGAGGTCAGTTACAAGCACGAATACCTCAGTGCTGATAACGTCTTCCACTGCAGTAGTACGTGATTAGGACATAAATCTCAGAAGGGATATATGAATTCGTGCAAGACTCCAGCAGATATAGGCCTTGTTGACCTGGTGAGTCTCTGTCTGTCTGTTTTCGAAATAGAACTTTGCACCGATGTGCAGAACTTCAAGTCGCCACACTCCCTCTTTGTACCACACAAAGCAAGAGAAGAAAGTAGAAGAAATGCATAGTAGAGACAGTAAACAGAGGTGTGAGGCAAAAATAGAAGTAACGAAGAACAACATAGTTTCATTGGAAATCATAAGTCACAAGGAGTAGATGCATCTGCGTTGTCATTGACAACGAGGATTTCGAGCCACATCACCAATTGTTTCCAACCATTGGTTTTTACCGTCCCAAGGACCTCAACCAGTCAGCAAGTCTACACCTTCCTACGTGGCTGGCTGGCTTAAACTAATTGTTGTGGATTTCATTGACTGGTGACATGTTTTGGTTTGACCACCGCTAGCTCTTTTCCAGAGTGACCCTATGTCAGCTAACATTGGCCGTCAGTCGAGGAAGGTGATGGCTACGGATGCGTGCGTAACACATGTCTTAACCATCTCAATCGATGTAATTTCACAGCCTCATCGATGGATTTCCCCTCCTTACCTAGAACTCGACGCCTAACCTCACATGGGAGATAGAACACAGGCACCTATGATCAATGGCAGCTAATCTTTTCATGTCTTCCGGTCTCAATGGCCAGGTCTCGCAGCCATAAAGGAGGACGGAGCGGACTGATGAGCAGTACACGCGCCCTTTGGTCGACAGTCAGCTGGATACCACGTCTACTAAGCCAGAGACGGAGTAAACTGGCATGTGCGAAACTAGCCCTCTGTATCTGAGATTTCGTCAGAGACCAACCCGTTGGCGTTGGCTGATGGTACTTCCCAAATAAGTGAAGTGGATACTAAGTAGTATCCTGACTGTACTAGCGCCAAAGAGGGGCTATTACAGTCCTGAGCTTGAATACCTCAGTGGTGATAACGTCTCCCACTGCAGTAGTACGTGATCATGATATGAGTTCCTGCAAGACTGCATCAGACAAACCTTGCTGAGCTGGTGTGTACCAATGTGCAACAAGACCTAGATTAAGCAGGGCTTCCTTACGATTGTCTCCAACCGTCTTACAGAAATTCAGATTATCCCAAACAGCTTTTTCATGTAGCAGGATATAGGAAGATAATACTCTCTCTATCCAGTTGCTCAGGCTAAATGAAGTGGGGATGGGACTACAAAACCCGTGGTAAACTGGTTGAAAATGGGTCAAATCACCACGTGCAAAGCCAAGCTTTATAACACTACTACCCATTTACCTTAAAGACTGAAGTGTAGATAGAAAAAGACTCAAATCTAGGATCTATCGATGCCGAAAGTCGAGTGTTTAGGGCCAATGGAGACATATTCTCCATGTGCGGAAGATTATTTTATCTTCATCATTTTATTTCGCTGCATTCCCAGTGAAACATACAAGTTGAAGCCTTGAAGAAGTTTCAGTAGCAGTGGTGTTGCTTTCTATGAAGTGCGGTTACCAGTCTCACGCCCAACCTTTCCCATGCCTTTTCCTAGATAACTATTCGCTAGTAAACTAGACGAGGTTTAGGAGTGTGTCGGCAGGGAATCGAACACTGAACCAAGTACATGATTGCCAAGATAATAACAATAATAATAAACTAACATTAAATTAAAATATATTGAATTAAACAGGCGTATTAAATGACGGATATCACCTTGTGAATGATGAGGAAATGAATTTCGACAACGCACATTCTCGTAGCTGTCAGGAAGATCAAGGGGTCATGAAAATCACAATACAATGGAGACGAGTACGTGATCATTCAGTCAATAGATCAAATTAGATTTAGATAGCTGAACACTTTTCGAGAAGTCCATTCGTTGCTTAAGATATTCAACTTTCAAGCAACACACTTCCCAGAGCACGGGATCTCACTCGACCTACTTCATCAAACTGAGCATCTAACCAATTAGAATCATGATAGCCTTATAGCCTACTGCTAGTCAGAGTATCGTTTTTAATTTTTATTATTCTATTCCTTAACGTCCTGAGTGGAACATACGGGCGGGGAGGGGGGAGTGAGGCTTCAAGCAAGGGCTTCCAAGTCTCGGTAACAGTGGTTTTATTTTTACAGGGCGGGGTCGCTAGTCTCACAACAAGCGCTTCCCTCTTTACGAACCTAACTAACGATCTCAAGAGGTTTAGGAGTATGTCGGCTGGTGATCAAACCTCAGACCACTCGACTGGCTGGCGAGCGTTTCTCCACCGACCACCACCGACGCACTAAAAGCTGATCAAAATAACTAAGTTCCAACTAAAAATCGAACTTTGATGACTTCCTTCCCTACGAAGTCACAGATGTGCGCACTGTTGCGGTATCTGAAAAAACCGAGGATAAAAAAGATACCCCCGCCTACCCCACCCCAATATACTGTTGCTTATTTATATAATTACAAAGAATTCTCCAGCTTAACATTATATATTGGTAACCACATTCAACCACCAAGATCATTTAAACTTTTGCAACAATTGAAAAGTATATTTTATATGAAGACAGATTTTTACCACGCACCAACATCAATTCTGTGGTTCTGCGTCCGTGGAGGATGGTGACTAGCAATGGAATCTAAGAATGCGCATTTCGTCTTATTTGGGACTCGTCATCCGGACTGATAGGATCCCACATATTTTGGTATTGACTGTTTAATCTTGCATATATGGTATGTTATCATTCTCACACATTTTGGTAGTGACTGCTAATTTTGTATATATGGTATATTATCATTCCCACACATTTTGTTACTGACTGTCAACCTCGCACATATGGTATATTATCATCTCTCACGCACTTTGTTATTGGCTATTAAGATAAATTATTTCAAATGCTGTTAGCTGTCCATATTGTTGTAAAATGTATAAATACCATGGCTTTCTTTATCGTTGTTGCACTTCAATACACAGTCACAGTCCAGCCTTTGTCTTTTGATATTTGCGTAAGCTTTACGGTCGGAAGGTACGACGAGCAGATAGACAGATTAGTTCAGGCGCAGACAGAATAAGGTGAAAACGTCTTCATTCAATTCCCTACAGTTATAACAAATTGGCGACGGGGTTTTACCTTAATTCAGTGCAGTTATAACAAATTGGCGACGGGGTTTACCTTAATTCATTGCAGTTATAACAAGCAAACGACGACAGTTTTTATTCTGTTCAGCGCAGCTATATAACATTTTTGACTGTGTTAATTACAACCCAATTACAATGTCTATCTCTCTGGACGATCTCAAATCTATCTTGCAGCAGCAGCAAGTTCAGAATGAAGCAGCTCAACTAAAATTAATCGAAGCTCTCACTCAGAAGCTGTCCATTCAAGTTCCATCAACATCTCATTCTGACAAATATGAAAGCATCTCAAATTCCATTAGTGAGTTCAACTACGACCCAATATCTGGTCTCGTATTTGATGCATGGTTCAATCGTTACGAAGACGTTTTCCGTATTGAATGCTACATGTTTGATGATGCTGCCAAAGTCCGATTGTTACTAAGAAAACTTGGTACTGTTGAGCACAACAGATATGTTAACTTCATTCTGCCCAAGAACCCACGTGAGTTATCATTCGATGAGACAGTCACCGTTTTATCACAAATCTTTGGTGAACAGTCATCCATGTTTAATATTCGGTATCAATGTTTTCAGTTGACAAAAATGCCTTCCGATGATTATGTGACTTACGCTGGCAAAGTGAACAAGGAATGTGAAAGGTTCAAACCACACGAAATGACATCAGATCAGTTCAAGTGTTTGATTTTTATTTGTGGGTTGAAGAACCCAGAAGATACTGACATACGAACTCGACTTCTGTCACTTGTGGAACAAGACCCGAAAATGACTTTACAAATGGTGACAGCAGAATGCCTACGTTTAATCAACTTGAAGCACGATACTGCTATGGTGGAGTGCAAACGACAGTCGTCTGAATTTGGTTCGATTAACACAGTGAAAAGTCCTCCGATCACCGTTAAGCACACAGAACGTCAGTCTCAAAATTCAGCTAAACCTCCTTCAGTGTGCTGGCACTGTGGTTCGTGGCATTTTGTCAAGTTCTGTCCTTTCAAGAAGCATAAATGCCGTAATTGTCACCGTTTTGGACATAAGGAGGGTTACTGTCCACCGCAGAAAAATTCTTCGGTGAGGAACAGAAGTAGTCGTTTCAAGCCGAAACAATCTCCTCGAGTACAGACCATTTATACAACTTCCAAAGTCGAGTTCGCCAGCAAACGTAAGTACATAACACTAGATATTAACGGCAAACGTATTCGTCTTCAGTTGGATACGGCATCAGATATCACCGTAATTTCCCGAACTACGTGGCGCAAACTTGGTTGCCCACAGATTCTGCCGACCGAGCATGTCGCCAAGAATGTCTCTGGAGATATACTGAAACTTGTGGGTGAGATCAATTGCCAGGTTCAGTTTGGTGAGCATCACTTCAATGGTGTATGTTACGTTACAAACTACCATGATTTGGATTTGCTTGGTCTTGACTGGTTAGACAAGCTCCATATCTTTAATGTACCATTAAATTCAGTATGCTCTAATGTTTCGTCTTCACCACACAACGTTGTTCCCGGAGATGTATCTGATCAATCTCTCTTGCAACGCCGTCGTCAAAAGCACGCTTCTGTCTTCCAGGACAAACTTGGTTGCTGCAAACTGTTTGGCATCCAGCATATTCGTAGCCCCCCGTATCATCCCCAATCGAATGGACAGACTGAACGTTTCGTCGACACCTTTAAGCGTGCTTATGCAAAAGCGAAGGGGGAGGGAACAACAGAAGAAATTTTGGATAAATTCTTGCTGCATTATCGTACGAATGAAAAAGGACAGTTATGTGTCAGACACACAGATCACGCTCTATCCAGTACCACGCAAAGGTCAACTCGACAAAGAAGAGCTCCGAAACCTTTTCAAATAGATCCAAAAAGCAAGTCCTACACTCTTTACGGGGGAGGTGATAGGATCCCACATATTTTGGTATTGACTGTTTAATCTTGCATATATGGTATGTTATCATTCTCACACATTTTGGTAGTGACTGCTAATTTTGTATATATGGTATATTATCATTCCCACACATTTTGTTACTGACTGTCAACCTCGCACATATGGTATATTATCATCTCTCACGCACTTTGTTATTGGCTATTAAGATAAATTATTTCAAATGCTGTTAGCTGTCCATATTGTTGTAAAATGTATAAATACCATGGCTTTCTTTATCGTTGTTGCACTTCAATACACAGTCACAGTCCAGCCTTTGTCTTTTGATATTTGCGTGCTGCACTAAGGCGGAAGGTACGACGAGCAGATAGACAGATTAGTTCAGGCGCAGACAGAATAAGGTGAAAACGTCTTCATTCAATTCCCTACGGTTATAACACGGACACACCTGCTAACTTCAATCATTCTTCAAATTATATACATATGTAGTTCTGATGCTATGAGGGAAGAGTTAAATCTTCTAAGAAACATCCTGGCAGAAAGTAGATATTCACCATATGTTTTATAGACAAAAGTATACAGTTATATAACTCATGAAATGTGATATAATATCTTTATTCAAGAAAGTACTATATACGAAGCTTGAATTCAAAGGTGACTTAGCTGTTTACACATTTTTAAAAGAAGGATCTTACAATCGCTTCAGAAAATGCCATTCGCTGCAGCATCAATGAGAATAGTATTGTTTTTTTACAGTCGACTATTACTGTTCAATACATCTGAAGGATAAAACCGTGCAGTTGAACATTTCAGTGTGTGTTTACCTGTTCCTCCAGAGATGGATATATATACAGCGGTCATTTAAACGCAGGTTTTGTTCAATTTCTTTTTATTCCTTTACGTCCCTAGTGGAACACAGGGGGGGGGGCTTCAAGCTAGAGGCTTGAAGTTTCTGTAGCAGTGGTATTTATTTTTACAGGATGGGGTCACTAGCCTCATGCCCGCAACCTTCCCTCTTTACCAATCTTATAACTGGTTTAGCGAGGTAAAGGAGTGCATCCAGTGGCCGGGTATCGAACCCCAGACCACATGAAGTGTGGTCGGCTAGCATTCTACCGCTGCGCCACCGACGCCAGTTTTGTTCAGTAAGGGATAAGAATAATATCCTGCATAGTTATGAAAAGGTAGAAGTCAGAGTATTGAACTTGTTGCTGAATGAGTAACACGTTCATCATCTAATCTGAATGTTCTAGACTCGAAGTACGTGGTATGGTCATGGATTTGCACTAGTGAAGAGTACCGAACCAGGAGTAAACAACCTTCAGTTGCTCTATAATTTACAGTCGTTCTCCTCTAACTGATATATATCGGTGAAAGATGAAAATTTGTACAGAGGTGCAGCATTTCAAGTTGTCACACCCCATGTAGCGCACATGAGAATTTAATAAACATGATAGATTACAAAAAGTGAATGCATCTGTGCCCCCATTGAGAACGATTTTAAGCTAAATCACCAACTGTCTCCAGCCTTCATTGGTCCGTAGAATCTCGCGGACTCCAAGCAAACAGCCTACACCACCTTCCCTATATGGGTGACATAAACCAACTTTCAAAGACTTGATGGATCGCTTCAAAGTTCTGCTCCGACCATCCCTAAATCTTTTCCAACCTTATTTCTATTATTACTCCTTTGGGTTCCGTGCGGAACATATGGCTTCAACAACGCACCTCCACTTTACTCTGCTTTCTGCTGTCCTCTTCACCTGGCTAGCTCCACGATTCCCCATAATCTCTAATCACCTTCTCTCCAACACGATCTCCATGTCACCGTCACACCGATAACTCACTCGTTGCTTGCCATTAGGACTCCACTCGAGCAATGACCTGCATTGAGCGCGATTTCATTCGACAGCCTCCTCAACGTATGCCTGGTCCATCTGCATTTTCTCCTACATATTCGTTAGGCGATCGGCTCTCGCCTATCGGTTTCTTCCTAGCCAGAGTTTCTTGTTGTTAATTCTTTCTAACCAGCCAATCGACCCTCAGTATCGAACCAGCCATCGAAGGTGGCAGCGGTTGATAAAAGTCTGTAACTTGTTGGAAATTCTTTTCCGTAGAGAAGAACTGACTGATTGACTTCACATTTGCGCTGAAACTCCGAATCTTTTTTTTGATACTGGTTGCTGAGTGAAGTAGAAGATTTCCAAACTGGTTTCAGGTTGATGAAGGCGTATCTTGCCTTTCCAATACTCTCTGGCTGGTTTTGACATCTTCATCCGTTCCGTCGACCTGCGATTGAAACCGTGCTTCCTAACCAGATAAGTGGAGGCAGGAAGTAACCTCTGTCGAATCTCTCCCTTTGATGGTGATTGGTATTGGCTGTTGTTGTCGTTGCTGTTTGTTGGTTATCTTTATCGAACCCGTCTCCTCTATGTTCACTTGAAGTCCTGTCTTCGCTGCTTATTTCAGCTAGTTTGTTGGTTTTTCAACCTAACGCTGTTTTTCGAGAAAGTTGATGACTAGGCATGTATAACACATGTCATAGCCATCTCAATCGATTTAGCTTCACAACCTCGCCAATTGACCACAATATTACTCACCATACACCACTTAACTTTATTTGAACTTATTTTCCAGAACAGACTTTTCGTCTTCACGCCTATAGAGCCACACTTATTGTGTGAGATAATTGATAATATCATCCAATTGCTCAAGCTGAAGAAGAGTAGAGTGAGATTCGAACCCGGGACTTACTAACTGAAAGTCAAGTACCTAAGCCACTGACCCACATCTCTAAACACACCAATTAACATGGAAGATAATGCTAATAATAATAATATGCTTTATTCCAAAACAGTACTTGTGATACAGAATGGAATTCTCAGCATTTTTACTACAATATTGCATCCAGTTAGTACATTAACAATAAATAAAATTCTACATAGATTAAGGGTAATCTCAGTTCCTTATGACAAACAACATATTGACATGCCGGGAGCAAAGCCAAAATTTGAACAGTGTTTGAAAATGTTAAAAAGTAGGTACTAGCATATTTACTGGCGTAAGCGGTAACAAAATGGTCAAGTTAAACAGAGTGTGAAAAAACAAAGAAGAATGTTTTAAGCACAGCTTGTAAGGAAGAGAGAAACAAAGCAGCACAAAACAGAAAAAAGAGAAAAGGAAAAGAAAGAAAGGAAACGTTGTACCTGTGAATGATATGATATGAGTTGGAAAGACGGGATCCATTTGTTCTACTGACTATTTAATAAGTTAAAGGTTTCACGCCTAATGCTTTCTTTATCGCACAGAACACGAGCTAGGTAGGGTATGGATGAGTTTTTGTACTTACTAGTGCGGGCATATAGTTTCCTATATAGGCTTCTGGTTTTCCCTGATGAGATACATGGGGAGAGTTGTGAATGTAGAGGGTGTTGTGAGTCAAATAAAATGGATTTCGCCCATTTTTCACATGAGTCCAAGTACCTGCCCACCAGAATATTAACAAGCTGGCTAAGTGGCAAACTGCTTACCCTGCTGGTAACCCTTAACATCCTGCATAATAAGGTATAGTCTTTTTTTCAGTAACCTTGGAAAAACTAAAGGGGAACAATAGAGAATAATAGGCAGGATGCAAGAGTTAACGAATCGTAGGAGTAAGGGTAAGACGGAATATTTTCTTAGAAATCGTCAAGATATGAGACGACCAGGAAAGATCAGAAGATAGAGTGACACCTAGGTATTTAATTTCCGAATTGGTTTCTATTTCAGTGCCATCTATGTTGCACACCTCGTGAGTTCTAACAAATTTGTTTAGGTCAGATTTATGCCTAAAGGTGAAATTGACTGTTTGGCATTTAGAGGGATTTAAGTTTAGACCGTTATCCTTGAACCACTGGCTGATTTCTGATAAGAAGCCATTTATTTTAAGCAGTCACTTTGACATTTGACAGGCAAAGATACAGTTAGGTCATCAGCATATTTGACAAAGTTAATGTCATTTGAAGATGGTAAGTCATGTAGAAAGAAAGAAAGAAAGAAAAGAGAAGTGGAAAGAGTACAACACCTTGGGGGACACCAGCTTCAGTGAGCACAGCATAGGAGAATTTACCATTGTATGCACTGTACTGCATTCTGCTTGAGAAGTAGGAACTCAAACATCTATGGTCATATATTCCATTTTCAATCAGTGACCATGTTTCACAGAGATAAAAGTGGACTGAGCAAACTACTTTGCAGGATTGTGCATCCTTTGATAGGCAACCAGTCAGCCCAGATATCACGTATACACACGTCAGAAAGGAAGTAAGTCGGGAAATACTACACACAGACACAGACAGACAGACAGACGGACAGAAGCCATTTATTTTGTATCCATTCTGAGATGATGATTAGATTAAAACTATGCTTGAAATTCATCAAAATCTTTACAAGAAGACCCAAAAACTCAGAAAAAAAGTTTATTGCTGAATCAACCAGTCAACTAACCAACTAATTAATGAACTGACTGACAGTATATATAAAATGTTAAAGACAGAAGGATAAAACGACAAGACACAGAATAGGAAGAAGATGACGATGGAATCATTAAAACACTTGATATACACACATACACACATATACACAGAGATATATTGACCGACTTGATTTAATAACTTGCTACCTGTCCCTCCTCCTCTTCCTCCTTCACCTACTAGGTAAGCCAAGGAAGACATACAACTTAGTCTAAACAAAACGCGAAAAAAAATAATAAAATAAACAGAAATGTATGGAGGATTAGCTTACACTTGTCATATGATTAACCCTACCCATCCACACAGACACACACACACATACACAACACAAGTTGGCGTGCAAACTCCGCCAATGAAAATACATCATTGTTAAGGAAGAGATAAAATAGGAGAGGATCAAAATGCTTTTATTACGTTTCGGAGTTCCGTTGATACTACTGATTAGAAAATAGTAGTATATACTTTGGGGCAGTCACAATTGTCTACACCCCAACCTCTCCACACACATACATACATACATACATACATACATACAGATAGACACATAAGCATACAGTGATACATAGAGCATTATATATGATTAGATAATCGATATATCATTAATGGTGTATATGTGTGTGCGTACTTGATATAGTTGTCAAGAAAAGGAGTTTAACATTAAATCGAATTAAGTTCATGTAAGTGTAGGGTATACTGTTAAACTGAAGTGGATCCGATCAAATCATGGGTTATTAATAGGAATTTGAACTAATTCCGATGGTTAGATTACATGTCATGAACCAACATCAGTGAGAGAGATCATTGGAAACCACCAGGGGGAGCACACTGGATAGTCAGCTGTTTCGTCTTAGTTTCTTGGGTCTCTTCAGTATGCAGTTTTCTCCCAAAATCCACCAGGCACAGAACCCAGGACCTCTAGGTTATATGACCAATCTCGTTGACCATCCCGGCCACTAAGACAGGAATGCAATCAATCACTTGCGAGTTCCCTACCGTGAACCAATACCACTAATGAGCACCCCTACTTCACTTTGACATCGTAGACATCATCGGTCATGAATTCTCAGTACACCTTCAGGACAGGCACATCATGTAACCGCAAGTAGACTGTATTTCTCGTTGATTGATTAGACTGAGATGCTTAGTCTCTCTCTCTTTCTTTCTGTTGACATCGCTGGCTTCTAACACGGCCACTTCA